TATAAATTTTATATTTCTCTGACTTTATGTCTATAAGTAATTAATCTATTTGATAAGATAAAGAGGATAATTATCACTATGTTTGTTTAAGTTAGACTCAATCAAGCATTAAAGCAATAAAGTAAAGGGCCATTAAAATCCTTTGTAACCAATCAACTTAAGATACTAAACGTGTAAAAATGAATTTCAATATGATAAAAACGGTCACGTGCATAGCGACGTAGAAATTGTTCCTGATACATGTATATGACCGGATATGCGCTAGATATAGTTTTTGGACCACAGCGTCGTGTGTTTATATTTATCATATAAACTCTTTGTTTTTATTGAAGTATGACCATATTTATTTCATTTATAGTTCATACGTTTCATTCATACACTGTACATTTCAATAGTTTACTTTATGTTTGTTATATCCCAGTTTTGAAAAAAAGTGCAAAAATGACAGTCAATAAAAGATCTTCAAAATGCTTATTAAAAACTTCTATAGACTGATAATTAATTTCCCAATCTGACTCAAGTTCGGATCTTCTTATTTCTTCCATGTAGATCTGATGACCACCTTATATGTTTCGCCTTCTTTATAATTCGGATTTCCCGATAAAGCTATTTTTAGCCATTCAATCAAACCGGGTTTTGTAGATAAGCATTAGAAGAAGTATCAAAATACCGTTATTCGTGGAAGTTACACAAAATGTTTATTTTTGTTAGAAAAAAATGTTTGAAGTAATCATCTTGAATTAATAGAGTCATTTTTAATGAATAAGATTGTTTCGCCAGTTTAGCTGTCGGCGATATGGCGTGAAAATTACCTACTCAATTGGTTTTCCAAGGATTAGAATTAGAAACCAAATCATTTTCAAAATAATGAAAGCTCGCAAATGATTGGTTGTTTGAAAGACCAATAGAAGTTGACTACCTATGGGTTGATGTCAGATCCTAATGCGTAGCGCTATTTAGGAGCTGATCTTAATCAAATTGATTTATCATCCATCCCGTAGCAGTAATCTTCGTTTTAAGATAATAATTTGGTCACGCCATTTACATTTTCTATATCATGACCATACCATGCATACATGCATTTACAACCTGGACATTGATTGTATGACTGCGTTTTTAATTACAATATACATGTATTATATATAGTTTAGGTTTATTTGTAATTTGGACTTGTATATCTAAAATAAACCTTCTGCGCAAACGACCGGATAAAATAGTTTTAGAATTTCCTTTTTTTTAAATCCTGAAATGTCTTTATTTGAAACCTGTTTAAAAGGGAGAATATTATCATATATTAATTACCTCTCATTTGTCTGAAAGAGCTTCAAATTCTTGCTAGGTAACAGTCCTTTTTTATATAACATGCGAATTTCACATGTTCGTGAAGAAAGAGAAAAAAAACAATTGTACACTTTCAAAATTTAGGTACGCACACAAACAGGCGTATTTATTTTGTAAGATTAGATTCAATAATTTTATCTTGTATGCATCAAATTTATTCACGTCTTCACAATATTATTGCATTATTCAATTAAAAAAAAATGTTTTGTCTTTTTTTTTCTTATCTTATTTTTCTAAAAAAGATTTGTTACGATATAGATTTTTACGGGGTTCGCTTGATTAAAAGATCCTTAACCTACTGAAAACAGGCTGTCGGGCAGTTTACGAGTACTAGTTGCTATCATTTTCGCAAGGAACTCATAACTTCTGTACATGCCAGAGCAGAAGGACAGTGCCGAAGGATTTCATGAACAATCTCGACGAAAGTGACCTCCAAAGTCCGGGAATTGAACCTGTGTTGCCCGATTCACAGCCAAACGCTTTATTAATTATTATTGAGCTTACAGGACGGTCTTATGACTATCAGAATGGAATGTGAATAATTTTATGCATGTGCATGTATATTTGAATTGGTATAAAGGTCAAATGAGATTGTATCTTGTCTCATATTTACATATCTATCATAATGACTTCGTGACAAACAATTTGTAAGGCATTCAATTAGAAAAGTCATACATTTCTTTATTTCATTTTAATTGCAGAGTTATCAATTTATTTCGTTATACACATTACATCCCCTTATATATTTTTGGTTGGGTTTTAATCTGAAAAAGGATGATCACTCGGAAGCATTATAATCACTTCAAAATAACATGAAAATTACAGACTGTATGATTGATTGAGTCTATACTGTATTGGTCATATGGGGGCTTTTTCAGTTTCATTTGTGAAGGAAGACCTCGGGTACCTCTCCGAACATATTATTTCAAGTCTTTTTACAACTAAGATTACTGTAACAGTAGTAAACAAACAGCAAAAATACCTTTACATCAAGAACAAGTTTTGTACACTATTTTAGCAAGTTTTTTTTATTATTTTTATCTTTTAAGTACGTGTAACGGATTTACTTGAACATGTCACTGCAAACACTGTTGAGTTAAGAAGTTTAAAAGCTATTTTAAGGACATATCAAAATAAATTCAAAACAAGCAAAAAATGAAATACACTTAAAAAGATTTAGAAAAAGAGAGTGATAGTTTTACAACCTTGACATAATGTACCAGTTACCTTGCCTGCTTTACTTGACTGGTGATATTGTAAAACTGTCATCGACAACAAATATTTAAGAAATAAATTATGAATAAATAGAAAATAAATAAACTAAATAATGTTAGTTTTATGTCCTCATAGCTCGCGGTAAACAATAAGGGAAATGAGCATGAAAGTCCACCCATATGGTAATTATATTATTCATTATAGTATTCTTTTTTACTTTCTGCAATATTATATATCATTTTCATAACATTTCAACCAAAAGCACATTTTATTGATCAGACATAGACAATGTGTCGGCCATTTTGAAAATATTACGTCATCATTAACCTCGCAGCGAATGGTTTTATACCCTCGTTGTTGCTGTTGTTGTTGTTTTTGTTTTTTTCGGTTGTGACTGACTAAATGTGTTACCCTCTAATTAAATAATCAAATCATGTTCCTCTTTTTAAATACAAAGAAAACAAATCAAATAATAAACTGACGATCAATCCAGAGACATAATTGAGCCGTGCCATGACAAAATCAACATAGTGCGTTTGCGACCAGCATGGATCCAGACCGCGCATCCGCGCAGTCTGATCAGGATCCATGCTGTTGGCTTACCAACTCTATTACAAGTAGAGAAACTGATAGCGAACAGCATGGATCCTGATCAGACTGCGCGGATGCGCAGGCTGGTCTGGATGATTATTTTGACAAAAATTTGACTAAAATGGGGGTACAGTAAGTAGGCTATAACCGTGAGTGTAATGATGACTACATGAAATAAGTGATGAATAACAAGTGAAACAATTAAACAAAGTTTTTTTTTCCTATTCCCGGTACGTTTTCTATTTCTAATCACATCCTTTTGACACCTTTCTCATCATTATTTGTAAATTAGCTTTTTATTTTATAAATATTTGTCGTTATCTAACAGTTACTGATCTAATAATAATAATAATAATAATAATAATAATAATAATAATAATCTTTTATTATAGTGACATGTGTTTTCGTACATGAAAATTACATATATACAATGTAAATAAAGAACACCCGGCCTTATAGGCCTTATAGGTCACCTTAACAACAGTGTAAAATGCACGTGAATATATTAACTAATTAAATGTAACTTATTTGCACCAATCTGCACAGATCAGTAAATTTGTGAATACAAACCTCGAAGGTGCATATGAAATTCGTATATTTAAAATAATCTCATTTGTCAATATTCGCAAGTCATATAGTTTTGCTTGTTAATGACTTTTTTGTGGTTTGCCGTGTCTACTGGTACAGATATAGACGTGAATGTTTAGCTAAAAGCTAACCCGATCTTAGAAAAGAAGATCTATTTAAGAATTGTACAAATTTATTCACACGAAAACCGAAATGGGTGTTAAAAACTTTTTAAAGGATGTTTTCTATATAAAGGATATATTAATTGTTGTACTGCTTCCAGTTGTTTTTATTCCGTTATTGGTGGAATACGATACCCCTGTAAGTAGACCATTTCTTTCTGAACACGTTTTTTAATGTTCTTGAAGGCTCTTCGTAGTATACATCTATATCATGGTGTGGATTTGTTCAGAACTTCTCAAAGCCGTCCGCAAACATGATATTATACTATATTATTAATATTTGCTGAGATGTGTATCAAACTTTAAACCATTAAAATAACAGATTATATCATTTCACACAAGTTCATGGCACAAGCAAATCGTATTTTATATTTTAGGCAAAATGTGCCTTTAACAGATAAAATAAACATAATCCGAGCTGATTTTGTAAACAAGCGTTTGGTAATGTTTTAAGCAAAGAGGTATTTTCATTTCCATACAAAAACAATGGCACTTCATCTGTGAAAATTGCAAAATAGGCAAAAATCAAAATATGGTTTTATGGTTCAGCAATAAAGACAATTAGTAATTTTCCGGAAACTGTTTCAGGAAACTCAAAATAACAAACAATGTGATGTCAACTATTGACATTTTTCCTCCAATATCACAAGCAAATTATTTGCCGTAATTGTTCATGAAAAGAAAAAGAGTTATTTATGTGCTGTAAAATCTTATTGAATGAAAAATATATATTGATATAAAAGAATTCTGTATAATAATTGAATACCTTGATTCATATGGCATCCGCTTTCTAGAACGAAAAGTCTAAAATAAAAATAAGACAATAATCTATCATTTCTTGCGATTGATGGTAACATATGCATGTTTGAGTGAATAAAAGATATGTTGTTGTTGTTGCTATATCTGTGACAATAGTAATTATTTAAACCAGTCTTTTTAGCAAATTCAAAATACAAACAAACAAATAAACAAAAATAACAAACAAGCAAACAAACAAAAGGCGGCCAATACAAGCTCAGTTAAAGAAACGGAAAGACCACGATGGAAAATATAAATATGATTTTTTTTTACCATACATCTTTAACTTTTAAGTGATTATTTCAGGAGGCAAAATGTGCTTACTGCGTCATCATTATGGCGATCTTCTGGATCACAGAGGCGCTGCCTATAGCTGTGACGTCATTGCTACCGGTGTTCCTTTTCCCGATGGTTGGACTGTTGACCGTGAAAGCGACAGCGCAACAATATATAAATGTACGTAGTTATCTTTACCGCCAAAGTATTAAAAAATTGATAATGTTCAACTTATTCCAAAAGCTTTTAATACTGTCATTAACTTAAGCTTTCACAATTTTACAAAAGATGGTGAAAGTTGAAACTATTGTTGGCTTAGTTCTTGTCTCTTACAGATATGAATATTCTAGTCTCTTACAGGTATGAATATTCTATAAATATACACAAAAAAGGCCAATCATATCATTTAGTTATATATGCTTGATTCAGATACTAGATCGTTGTTTTGATTTGAGCACTTTCTGAAATGATAATTTTATTTGAGAGTAGTGTTCACTGTTTGAATAGTGTTTGTGAGTAATCTTCTCTTTGTTAGTAGTGTTTGGTGTTAAAGTAGTGCTCAGTAAGTATATTGTTTACTGTTTTAGAAGTCTTCAGTGAATATTATTCAATTGACGATGGTTGTTGTACTTGCTGAGTAATATTTACTTTGTGAGGAGCGGTAAATGAGAAATTTAGACCGTGTTCGATTTTTTAACGAGTATTGTTCACTGTTTAGGTTATGTTTAGTGACAAATGATTACTCAGTGACAAGAAGCTATTCACCAAAGCAACTGCTCTGATCAGAAAGGGTTTTAAAATTTCCTATAATAGCCATTATCGCAATAATTGCCAACAAATGTGTTATGATAGTATTTTAACACTTTAAATAATAAATAATACTTTATGTTTAAACATTAAGTTAAATGTAAGATAAATGCTAACACTCGATGGAAAACATAATTGATATTAAAACTTGCAAACAGATTTGAAATTCTAACACTTGGCTGTAGTAGGTAAAGCCAGTTCAGAAATATCATTATTCAACGGAAGTCACTCTACTATATTTCCCAGAAACAGAAAATGTAAAAAATGCTTATATTGTTGTATCCTCATAGACAAATGTGAAATGCTTCTGATTCTTCCTTTCTGTCGACTTGAACATTCATAATGACACATTAGATGTAAAAAAGGATTCTTATTTATTTCCAGGACACCAATATGTTGTTTATAGGTGGTTTGATCGTAGCCGCGGCCATAGAGCACTGGAACATTCACACGCGCATCGCTCTACGCATATTATTATTAGTCGGATCCAATGCCCGCTGGTACATTTTCCTTTTTTTATTTCTATCTTATACACAGATACACTGATAAGCTGACATGGAAAGTCATGAATACATTAATGTTAAAAAAATTCTGAAGTCATATATTTACGTTTATTTTACACAATGGTAAGTCAACGCAAAAGTGGCATTGCCATTTATCTTGTCTTGCTTTGATCAACAATTAAATCAATACAATTTATCATGGCGCGTCCGTAGCCGAGTGGTTTAAGGCATTGACTTCAAGCCACTTACTCTTCACAGCTGGTTATTCGAATCCCGCCAAGGACTTTTTTCATGTGCTGGAGCTATCCAGCTAGCTTGCTTACGGAACGTCATTGTTTCAACTTATGTGCTCGTTTGTGCACCGCCAGTTTCTTGGAATTCTCTCATTACAGCAAGTTATCTAGCTAGCTTACGAATGGACGGTGCTCAAACTGAGACGCCTGGTACCTGACAAAAATGCACGGAGAGGCGCTTGAGGTTTTTATCCACCAGTAAAACTAGGAAGTCGTTATATGACCATTGCAGGTTCGGTGACCTGAAATCCAATCAACCATAAAATACAAAAAAACCTACCCAGCTAGCTTTCGAAACAATGGTCTGTCTACTCAAGTGCCCCTGTATGCCTGAAATAAGACAGATATGGTTAAATTGGAAAGTCCATATTTGACATTTACATTGTTGGTGCGACGCAAAAATCCAGCCAATTGACTTTGTGGAACACCTTACAGATAAAACCTTTAGTTTGTAAATTATGTACATTCATTTTTTTATTCATTGAGAATATTCAAGTATGCACAATTTTAATGTTTATAATCTCATCGTGAACATTTACTTAATACGACTTCTTCAACGTTTTCAACAAATATTTACACAAGAAAGATAAATATTGTCCCTTTTTTACATTTGAAGTGCTTTAGACTGAACCTCGTAAGGTATGAGTTAAATATCATAATTATACCTGAAGCCCTCATGAGATCAATCGTGCACCGTACACATCAAGTGATCACTGATGTATGTTTGCAAAACGTTGATAAAATCTATATATGACCTTTTCTTTATATATGCTTAAAGGATACATTAAGAAGTTAATAGAAATACGTGATGTGCATATTATACATAAACTGAACTTTCTCCATCTAACCAGATGCACATAGTGAACAGGTTCTTCAATAAGATTTAATCTAAAACAAGTATATACGAGTACATGTACTTTTCATAGTGAATTTCCCGTTCAAAATGTTTATTGCATTTGTTTGCAAAATTTCATGATGATACCTTTCTCGCATGAGACAATCGTAAGTCCCTATTAAGATCCCAGCCAACAGCGAAAAGGATGAAACTATTCAGTGACATAAATAACTTAGCAAGGAAGCTACCAACGGCCCTAATGACAAATAAATAAATAAATAAATAAACAAACAATAACAACAAAACTCTTTAAAAAGTAATATTAACTTGTGATATACATATATAAAGCAGTAGGCCCATTCTTGCTAAGAATATCAAGACTATCATTTTACAATACTTTCTCCAACGTAAATAATTATGTAGTATACAAATTGATCATAAATTTTTCTGTCTATTTCTTTTCTATAATATCATCATACTTTAAATAATGATTATTATTTCACTCTAGGATAATGTTGGGTCTGATGGCCCCGACCTGGTTTTTGTCAATGTGGATAAGTAACACGGCAACCACCGCAATGATGATTCCTATTGCCAACGCCATCCTTATGCAGCTCAAAGACACGGAGAAAAAGTTCAAAGGTTATCCAAAATTACCTTAAATTTCTACATGTTGGTCTTTTCACAAAGTACTTGGTAATCTTTAAAAATAAGAATTGTACTTAGTAATTATATATAAATCAAATGCATGACAACTATGCAGAAGAAACGGTTGCCTGTCTCAGTGGACAACAGCGGTTAAGTTTAGTTAAAACATATATATTTAAGATTGGTTGCTCATCAAATTTTTGCAACTTATATAACTCGTTTAAGGGTAGCGACCAGTACTGGTGTTTTTCGACATATATTTCGGCTATATATTTTTTTATTGTGTCAGTACAGCTATTTCCATTCAATATTTTATGTCTGTATTCACGTTCTAACCAATTATTCTTATATGCGTAAACAGTTGTTTCATTTTCTATAAAAAAAAATATTATTTTCATTTTTTTTAAATTCTATTTTGAAAACAATTAAGCGTTACGAATGATTATAATAATTTTAATTTTGAAATCAGGAGTTGATAACGAGGCTGTAGAACTCGATGATGTAAATGTATCCGAGAAACCACCGATTGAGAATGGAAATGGTGTTAACGGAAAAGACGAAAGAGATCCAAATATCCATATAGAAACGGAGAAAGAGCAATCGAAAGTAAATTTTGACGATATACCGTAAGTTCATAAGTTAGAAGCGTATTATTTAATTTTCTGGCACATTTTCAATGTGATGTAACAAGATTACGAATTTATCTTTATACTGCACTCTGTAAATGCAATCATCCTGAAGAAATGATGGGCTGGTTTTCTGTTGACATTGTTAACAATGCAATCAATCTGAAAAATATAAAACAGTCTGTACTGTGTTAAAGAAATGAAATGGACTTTAGGATTATATTTTTAAGTTGGCATTAGCAAGGTCCTAGAAATGACCTTCATGTAATTTATGAAGTAAATTTTGCAACGTACTATAGCTTGCTTGTACACCCTTTAACGTCATCCATATTGGAATGGTCTAAATATGTACGAATGTATAACAGACGACAATGATATATTTTTCAGGGACAATGTTTTAGAAGATGATGATGACCCGGCTTTCAGACGCTTGTGTAAATGTCTAACATTAAGTATAGCTTACGCTGCAAACGTCGGAGGAATCGGGAGTCTAACCGGAACTGGACCAAACCTAGTCATGAAAGGACAACTTGACATGTAAGCAGTTGATTCATTTATAATATATCGATGCAATAAAATTACAGTAACTATTTCATAACAAAATCAGGTGCTAGAAAAAAGATATGAAACATTAGATTCGTTTCATACGTATAATATGGCCGTCGGTTTGGGCCCTCATTCCTTCCTACTGTTCGTCTGGCATCGTTCTTCACAACAACTTCGTATATTGATAGCTGTATTAGATATTTGACAGCTGAAATGTAAGTGTAATGTATTGACTTCGTTTTAATAGTGTTTTGCCCGAAGTTCACTCACAGGATATATTAGTTCGGCTAATAATTCTATGCTACATTAAATTTCTAAAATTCTAGTAATTAAACATTTTTTGAATGGTTAGTGTTTTTTATGCTTAAATTTTGGGCAAAAATACCTTTCTTGTCACTTCAAGCCTCTATATTGTGTTTGAGAACTTGTAAAATGTTTTAATTCCCTTTTTCTTTCAGCGTGTATGAGGGATATGGTATCAAACAATCGCCAATTACATTCGCTAGCTGGATGGGTTTCGGAGTACCTTTGTCATTTTGTCTTGTTATTATCGTCTGGATATGGCTTCAGTTCTATTTCCTTAGATGCAAGTAAGTTCGTCTGCTGCAAAAAAAAGAAAAACAAACCGGTTATGATGCTCAAAGCATTGACCAGTTATGCTTCTAATATTGTATTTTTTAATTAATGTTTTTTAAATGGGTCTTCCCACACAGTCACGTAATTTGCAATGTTAGCAGGACATCAAGTGTAAAAGTAACAGCTTGAATTTCAAATTTCGTTAATTCTAGGTATTCTGTAATCATTTTTATCGCAATATAAACAATAAACAAACAACAAATATATAGCTTTATACACTTCAAATGACCTTTTTACAGTGGTTGTTGTGAAGGGAAGAACGATGATAGAAGTATAAGGGTGAAGGCCGTTATACGTACAGAATATGAAAAACTAGGACCTGTCAGGTAAAATAACAATTCTTTTAGTGATCCCTCGGATCACAATTGGCCGTTGATTTATGTATCATTTTATTTGTAAAATAAATTGACAGTCTAAGAGAAATAACACTTCATTGTTTCGGTTTTCATTTTAAGTCTGTGTATATAGCACTTTTCTAAAACTATTAAAATCAAGAAAGGGATGTTGAAAATTTGCAAATGACTTTGCACAAAACTACAATTCGTGAATTAAACAGACGATTTAAAGTGGTGGCATTATGTCCACCCAAGTGTGCAAATTATATAACTTGATATATTGTCATAATTGTGTTCAATTTTATTTTATACTATGAAAAAGAAATCAAAAACCTACGTGAACAACGGTATTTTCTTGAAAAACGTGGTGCAGTCTTTTTATGATTTAGTCCGTTTTTTTACACTGTATTATAAATATTTTTTATCATCAATTATTGGCCAGTATCAGTCTATTATCTAACTCTACTTGACAGAGAAAACATTAACATAGTGTCACTTTAAAGTACTAACCATTGCATTATTTTCATAATCTTTTTGCCCAGGCTAAAAGTAAGATCCCTTCTCGTAGACAAGTTTGTCACATTTTAGAGCATCATTTATGTAAATCAAGAATGTTGAATGAATATTTTCAGTTTTGCACAGGGAGCCGTTATGGGACATTTCATAGTTTTAGCGTTGCTATGGATAACCAGAGATATGGGCGGAGAATATGGCTGGGGTTCACTTTTCCAACAAGGGTTTGTTTATTAATTTATATTTTATTTTATTTATCTTGATACCAGGTGAAAATTATGGTTAAAATGAAGTTTGGTTAGATCGAATTTTCACGAAGAGTTTAAAACTTTATTGGGATTTTTTTTCGTTTGATTTACTGACTTAAACAAATTTTATCATTTGAATAATCGTTTTTTTTCTAATTATATGAATATAATAAAAACACATTCTGTTTATCTTAGGTGTTAAGTGTGTTTATATTTATACGACGAACATGACACTGTGATAAAACAACTCACTCACTCACTCACCAACTCACCAACTCACCAACTCACTCACTCACTCACTCACTCACTCACTCACTCACTCACTCACTCACTCACTCACTAACTCACTCACCAACTCAAATTCACGGTTTCAAATTCTAAATTCATGATTTCAACTTCACGAATTCAGCTTCGCGAATTCACGATTTCAACTTCATCTTCATGAATTCATGTTTTCAACTTCTTTAAGTTAAAATCGTGAATTCATGAAGTTGCAAGGTCCCCACATGTCTTCCGTAAATACCTATAGTACAAACAATATGATTGCACGCCCTTTGTTATAAAGATAAAAAGTTCTCATTTCTGAATAAGTTGTTTTTATCACCATTCATTCACAAAGTAAAATAATACATTTGCTAATTGCTTGTTGTTGTTGTTTATTTTCATTCAGATATGTGAAAGATGGGGTGCCAGCCATATTTATTGCAACTATGTTGTTTATTTTCCCGTCATCTTTGCCGCGAATATTCTGCCTCAGACCAGAAGGTAAAATACGTAGAGAAATTACATATTTTTATTTCAAATTATTTATTTTGATGCATTTGTTATAAGAATAAACAAAAACCTTGACCGAAAAGCACAAAAATGACTTCTACAATACTTAAAATTTAGGCCGCTTGGACGCTAGACTGCCAACTTCATATACAATATGATAGGGTCAAAGCTCTTTTGCGTTTCAATTGTTTGAATTGTTTCGTTTAAATGCACGTGCTCTGTATTTTATATTTTTACGTTAGGTACTCGTGCACCACTGAAACCCTTATTATCATGGAAAGCAGCTGTGGAAAAGGTTCCTTGGGGCGTGGTATTCCTCCTGGGTGGCGGCTTCGCAATGGCATATGCGTCACAGGTAATAACTGATAACAGAAAATATATGTCTTGAGAAATAAGCCATAATTTAAAACTAATCCAGAAAGCTTGAAATGAAGTAAACTTTGTCAGTTTTAGTACATGAGTCCATACTCAAAGTGCCTGAAAGGTTGGATGGGCCCTCATTAAGCCTACAATGCATAACATAATATCTAGAACATTTTCCGAAAATTTGTGCGCGTCCATGAGCGTGTGATGATGGTTGGTTGATTTATGAGGTTTACCCTCCGGATAACGGGCATTGGTGTCTTGGAAATAATTCCCAGTCATGCATGTAAACAAAAGAAAAAATCTGATGGAAGTCCCTTATCATATCTAGTCTAGAGTAAGTTAATGTCATAAATCTCATATCACGTGTCCTCTACTGGTACGGGCTCGAATTTCGGTAGATAAATTGAAGTAAGTCAGTAGTTCTAAAGTCCAAAGAAAGGAAAAAAATAATAAAATATAAATATTCAAAATAAGACAATGCGATGAATAAGTAAAATAAGTATACCAATTTATTTGGGGCTGATATGTAACATTCTATTTTTATATCTTAATTTGCATTTTTGAAGATGATGAAGTGTTCCAACCACTATTAAAATTTCTGTTTTCTTCTATTTTTAGGAGTCGGGTTTATCAGCCTGGGTTGGTGAGAAATTAAGCGTGTTAGATTACCTATCACCATGGGTGCTAAATCTAACATTGTGTTATATCGTAGCTGCAATGACGGAGGTTACCAGCAACACAGCAACGTGCACGTTAATGATGCCCATACTGGCAAACCTGGTAAAGTTTGAATCCTTCATAAAGACACTTACATAAGTTGTTGTTTTTTGTTGTTGCTGTCTTCATCATTATCCTCATCATCATCATCATCATAATCATCATCATTAGTATTATCAGCAGCATTAATGTAAGCGTTAAATTCATCATCATCATCATCATCATCATCATCATCATCATCATCATCATCAACAACAACATCATCATCATCATCATCATCATCACCATCATAATCATCATCAACATCATCATTATTATCCTCATCAGTATCATCAGCAAAATAAGTATAAGCATTAAGTCCATCATCATCATCATCATCATCATCAGCATCATCATCATCATCATCATCATCATCATCATCACCACCATCACCATAATCATCATTATCATCATTTTGCTTTCTTATTTTTAATATCATCATTACTATCAATACTTTATTTACAGATCAATATTATCTTCATGAGCGTCAATTTGGTAGGTCATATTTCATATAGGGCCATATAATCTGTCAAAAATCTTTATTATAAGTTATAATATATCAGTTATATTTACTCGGAAAAGTAGTTTATGTTTTGAGTGAAAAACATTCAATGTTCGAATTACCAACTATCTTCTCGTTGATAGTTGGAGATTCGAACCAATACCGTGATGGACATTAGGAGACAGTGAGTTTGTTTATTGGAGAACACATCTTTCTTTTCATATTTTCGTTAAAGTTATTTCGGAAAAGTACTTCTTTAGTACACATGCAAAATTTAAATTACCAGAAGGTAGTTGGGTATTCACACGAATAACAAACTGAGTCCCATGGTCCATTTATGGTAAAGGGGGTGTTACCATACCATAGAAAACACATGTTTTGTTATATAACTGTAACATTTGTTAACCGTTAACATAGAATATCCGAATTACCAACTACCTTCTTGTGGATAGTTGGGGATTCACGCGAATAAATAACTGAGTCCCCTGGTCGACGTAGAGTGCGGGGTGATACCATTTGGTAAAATTCATCTATCTTGTCATATATCTGTTAATTTAATTCTATAAAAAAAACTTTCAGATAAAATTTACTAAGATTTTAATAAAAAAATCTATTTTGCGTGACTAACGCAGTAAGGGCATATTTTGACATTTATTTGGTAATTTACGTGGGTTGAAAGTGTTGGTTGGAATACGTAAATTACTTTCTTTGTTCACTTGAAAATGTTTTACCTTTAATCTACATTACATTTTTAAAATGTTGTCAATATTAGAACTGCAGTTCTATTTAACAGAACATGTCATTACTGATATGTTTTTTTTATTGCTTGTCTTACTTATTTTTCTTTATCTACTCGGTTGTGCAAAGCCCTTTATCATAGACACGAATGTCAGCCATTGTTAAACACTATAGACTTAACAGCTATATTGATTATTCAGGTGTGAAAATTCAATTCAATTGCATAACTCAATTTCTTGTGTACTATTGTGATAAGTATAAAGGATTTCCAAAAACGTTATACATCAGAGCGGGCGCTGTGGTCCAGTGGTAACACTGTCTGACTACAAGTCTAGGGGTTGCGAGTTCGATCCCCCGCTACTCTACTAAAAAAACTTACAATCTTTCGTATGAAAAATATAATAAAAATTACTCTTGTAATGGCGATTTCAACATTAAAAGTAATAATGAAACATAATTTAAAAGCACTATTCATAACAGCATTACTCACTGAGCACAAAGGGCACAACAGAAACACTGACCAGACACACAGGGCACTACTGAAACACTGACCACACACACACAGGACACTACTGACACACAGGGCACTACTGAAACACTGACCACACACACAGGAAACTAATGACAGACAGGACACTACTGAAACACAGGGCACTACTGACACACAGTACACTACTGAAACACTGACCACACCCACACACACAGGACACTACTGACACACAGGACACTGCTGAAACACTGTCCACACACACAGGACACTTGTGACACACAGTACACTACTGACACACAGGACACTACTGAAACACAGGGTACTACTGACACACAGGACACTACTGAAACATTGGCCAGACACACAACCCACTACTGAAACACTGACCGACACACAAGATACTACTGAAACACTGACCACACACACAGGACACTACTGACACACAGAACACTACTGAAACACTGACAGACACACAGGGCACTACTGAAACACTGACCACACACACATGACACTACTGACTGAAACACAGGACACTACTGAAACACTGACCACACACACAGGACACTTCTGACACACAGGACATTACTGAAACACTAACCACACACACAGGACACTACTGACACACAGGACACTACTGAAACACTGACCACACACAGAGGACACTACTGACACACAGGGCACCACTGACACACAGGACACTACTGAAACACTGACCACACACACAAGACACTACTGACACACAGGACACTACTGAAACACTGACCACACATACAAGGCATTACTGACACAACAGGACACTACTGAAACACTGACCACACACACACAGGACACTACTGACACACAGGACACTACTGACACACAGAGCATTACTGAAACACTGACCAGACACACACAGGGCACTACTGAAACACTGACCAGACACACAGGGCACTACTGAAACACTGACCAGACACACAGGGCACTACTGAAACACTGACCAGACACACAGGGCACTACTGAAACACTGACCAGACACACAGGGCACTACTGACACAAGGGCACTACTGAAACACTGACCAGACACACAGGACACTACAGAACCCCATGACACTACTGACACACAGGACACTACTGAAACATTGACCAGGCACACACGACACTACTGAAACACTGACCAGGCACACAAAACACAACTGAAACACTGACCGACACACAAGATACTACTGAAACTCTAACCAGAAACACAGGACACTACTCAAACACTGACACACAGGACACTTCTAAGACACTGACACGGCACACAAGATCCTACTCACACACTGATTTGACACACAGGACACTTATCACACCTGATTGAATTGGATTGAATTTCCAACTTACAGCTGTTAAATAGTTGGGAATTACGAATAACCAACTACCTATTAGCAGGTAGGTATTCGAAATTCCAACTACCAACTACCTACCAAATTTACGCTCATATAATCATCATCATCATCATTTGCGTTGAGCATTCTTATGCATCATATTGACATTTGTTTCTTTCTAATAAATTAAGTATTGCTTATTATTTTTATTAAAGAAACCAACATTTCTTTGCACACGTAATTACACGGAAAACATAGAAAAATAAATGTAAACATATTATGTTATAATAAAGACGTATTGTAAAGCTGATATTTTCAAAAGTCATTTTTATACATAGGCTGTGCATCTTCATCAAAGTCCCATTTATCTGATGTTTCCGACTGCCATAGCAACGTCCTTCGCCTTCATGTTACCAGTAGCAACGCCACCAAACGCTGTAGTGTTCTCATACGGATATGTCAGGGTCATTGATATGGTAATGTTGTGTTATTTATTAAATTAATTGAAAAAATAGCTACACCCTTATTATACTCATATGTTTTGTTACATGTGTATACTGTTTACAGACTCGTCTGACTAAAGTTCAGCAGATCTACTTATTTCTTACGTACAGTAGCGTTTTTTTATGAGCTGATCTTAATGGACCTTTCCTGTTTTTCGTAGCGGAACATTTAGCCACACCTTTTCCATTCATTGCTGCGTCAACTGCTCACAAACAGTATCACAAACATAACAACGTGTTCTTTTGTGCAAATCAGGTCAACCAGTGACTATGTACTATCTCAGTGTAGCAATTGGATAACAAGTTAGCCAATTTACATGTAAACACTGGAAAGGTCCGATTGTTTACAGGCAATTCATGGTATATTACCAGCTTCAGAACCATCTAACAGTTTCTACTGTGGTTTATTTGATATACCCTGTGAATACATTTGTTAATAATTATGTTTTTTTTTTTTTTTTCAAAAAGATCCCTGTTAGAAATGAATTTTAAAAGAAGTTGGGGGAAAAAAAACTTTTCTAATAACATATTTTTCTTCGCAACCAAAATTTTTTTAACCGTGTCAGAGGGATTTTTTTTTGGGAAAAAAAAGGTGTCTGTCAACATTGATCTAGTTTTGTTTATAAAGTTGATGGATCAGATTTGGAAAGTCAAGAAAATATATTTCCCTTAACTTGGTTTCGTCAAATAATTCATAAAAACAAAAGTGCATTAGTAGATGTAATATTTCAGACTACATGTACAATTCAGATATTTTGAAGTTTGCACGTTATATAGGCATTTGTAGGTATAAATTTCATAAATCTATTGTTGTTAATCTAGGAATGCCGTTATCCAACTTCCTATTCATTTTAATATTTATATTTCATTTTTTTACATTTGCAGGTTATGGCGGGCTTCATTCTAAATATCGTCTGCGTACTGGCTCTAATCGGATTTTCGGAATCTCTCGGCGATCGCATTTTTGACTTTCATACCATTCCAGAAGAAATATTAAAGACATACAATGAATCGTTAACGTAACAATTGATTACGTCATTGTCTGGCGTCATCTTACAAATACGTGAAACTCGTTCAGATAAAATGCTTTACATTGTTTGATCCCTATATGTTTGTAAAAAGAAAGAAAGGCAGCCCCAACCCCCTCTCCCTGGCTTGGTGGCAACAAATCTTTTAATATACAAGAATTCTCGATCTGAGGTTTAATCCTCTTTAGGGGAAAATGATACTGTTTTTAAGTTGATGTAAAGAAGTAAAAGCCCCACACAGGGCTTCTATTGTATCCATAATTGCATATATATGTTGAAATGAACATAGAGAAAGATGTAACTAAATGTTTCTGCAGTTTATATTTCTAAGTTTATTTGTATTTATGAGGGATCAAACATTTCAGTTTATGGTTGCACTATATACATGGATGCTATTTTTATACAATTGATTCTTTGCCTTTGTAATACATATATGTAGAAATAAATGTATATATTTTGAATAAAATGCCTTTATGGTTGTCATAGTAAAAATGTTATAGTAACTGTTTTATATAAGCAGTTCTGTAATTTCTGTGTGCTTAAACGTAACTACAAATGCATTTAAATACAGGAAGATTTGATATTGTTTGACAAAAGTGCCTTCTTTCGAAAGACAAATATTTTCGGAGCAAAAAATGGATGTTATTTTTATACAATTATGTTTGTCTTTGTCATCTGTCTAAAAAGTAAAACTAAACGACATATTTAAAAAAAATCAACTATTTCCACTTTTTTCTAGAAAAATAATGTTTTTTTTAAATGTTTTAATACATGGGGTTAAGTTTTCCCAAGGGGACGGTTCGAGCTAAGGGGAACGACAACATAACCTCATATGGCACCAGTGTACCTGATGGAATCCAGACTCGAGTCTAGTGGTTCATTCATAAGCTTTTCACAATAACTAAAGAGCTAACATGAATATATTTTAACAAAAAACTAATTTCTTTAAATTGAGTTTGTGAGTGCGAGTAAATTTTCTAAATGACTGTAGAAAGTTTCGGAACAGTTTTACATTTTTAGGAATAATAAACAGCGTTGATTAATCTATCAGTTTATTTTACTTCCTCTGAAAAGCAAAAATATGGAAGAACGTATGAAATAAATACAAAGCTTCAAAAAAGGAAGAACTTTAATATTTTCAACAAATACATATATCCAAAAAACGAAGATATTCAAGAGCCTGCTGGTAGGCGTAGGGAGTACCTAAAACATGAAAATTTGACATGAGAGAAAGATGTGTGTAAAAGTTTTAATAATAATGACAATATATTGGCAGAGTTGGCGTAAGAATTACGAAAATATGAGTTTCATAAAATATGATGATAAAGCATGCACGGGTTACACGTGAAATGGATGCTCGTGTTTGTCAGTTCTATGATCTGAAATTTTCCAATGTTTAGTCAGGCATTTGTTACACATTATCGCATTATTATACAACACAAGTATAAAATATGTTCACATTTTCATTGAGCAAGTTTTCAGTTTTATGCACTCAATTCTTCTTCAAATAGTAAACCTGAAAAAGAAAAAAAATGTAAAAGTTTGAAAGCCTTTCACAGATTTAAAAAATTTAAAAAGTAAAAGGCTTTACATAACCAATTTTTTTTTATCAGTTCAAATGCAATATTTAAAGAC